TATTGTCTTTGTGCCATCTAGCTTTCAAATTACCCTCCCACATCTGTCAGATGTGTTTTGTTGTTCAATTATAAAAACTGTATCCAGACTGGATTATGAGAATGCTGTTTGCAGGCACCATAACCACAGATGCCCTTGGGTTGAACATAAGGCTTACTACCATCTTCCCAAAGAAAGACATACACTTCCAGCTGCTGCACCAGACCCATCCTTCTTGGAGAGAAGGAATCCCAGCAACTGAGCCTTTCTGGGGTATCTGAAATGTATAATTGGGCAGATGAGAGGCAGCAAGAAGAGTGAAAATAGACTTTCATTCACTTATATTTGTGTGGCCTATTCTCACAGAAAAGGCCAGAGTGAGCACAACTATTGAGTTTGCCTGGAGGTGAGGACGCTGTTCTTCTGTCCTGAATTACCGTAAAAGCATAAGCACCACCGTCACCAAGAGCGCCCTATTCTCTACTTCATTTTTGTTTATGGAGTCGATGTCTGGGACAATGTCTGAGACAAGAAAAAAAAATGCACTTGCTTTTCAGTCTGGCTTTTTCTCCTTAAAAGATGGCCAGGGCAAGCATGACGTTGTTTCATCAAAGGAAGCTTACATATTTGCAAGACACAGGATATCATCGGACGTCCACTTCTCCACCGAAATGATAACCAACCCAGTGTTCCACCTGACAGTTCTGACGCACCCATTTAATTTAGTAACACATTTAATTACAACTATTTCTAGTAATGTCCACTGTGAGCCAGCAAGATATGGACTCTGCAGATCCCCCGCATCGCGGTGGCCCCCTGCTCGTTTTTACCACTCATTCTTGTCCACCCCACCACCTGGTTCCAGCCCCGCTGCAATTCATTTCCACGCAGCACCCTGAATAAGCCCATAAAAATGTAAATCAGATCTCGTTACTGCCTTGCCTACAGCCCTCCAAAACTTTCCACTGCGTTTAGAGCACGCTTGACCCTCTCTAGATCCCCCTATCGTTCGTCCCCACCCCCTGCTGCCGCCTTCTCCTCCCCCGCCAGCCCACTGGCAATCTGCCACTTCCGCAAATGCTTCAACCTCATTTCTGCCTTCCAGCCTTCGAGCTTGCCACCCCCTCTTCCAGGAACACACTCTCCACGGCGCCCTTCATACCTGGCTTCTTCGCATCCTTGGTTCTTCACCAAAGGACATCTGTTCAGGAAGGTCTTTCCTACTCACCTTACTCCCTCCTCCATTTTCTTTGTCACATTACCCTGATTATTTTCTGCATAAAATTTGCAAGGATCGCAATCTAATAATCTAGTTTTTTGCCTGTATCTCTCCACTAGAATATAACTTCAAAATGGGCATAAACTTCCTCTTATTCATCACTATATCGTCATTGTCTAGGACACTGTCTGACACAGCCTCTGATACAGTCTAAACCACTGAATGAATGTCATGACCCCAATGCATATTACAAAGAATCACCACTTCATGTTCCAGAGCTGGTTTATTTTGAACACATGCAAATCTAATATTAGAAGCTATATCCCATATCTACTTCCCTTGACTCTTCCCAGAATATGGCAATCTGCATAAGAATCATTTCCCCAAATAAGAGAATGTCTTTGGAAACTGAAGAAGAAGAAAAAAAAAAAATCAGACACACTGGAAAACTCTAGGCTGCCTTCTTTTTCATTATAAGTAAGACAAGGTTCATGAGAGGAAGCATCAGCGCTGGATTCTTTAGATGTTGAAAATTAGATCAAATGAATTGGAGGACAACTACATCTTGTGTTAATGTTTTCCTCCTCGAAGGAAGAAAATGAGATGATGTGAGCCATGACTCCATTTGAAAATGAAACTTTGTATTTCTATTAGCTTCCACGTTAAAGCACGCTGTTTTTCATTTTAGACTTTTCATGTTGGTAAATGTTGCAGTGCTTTACATTCATTAGGCTCAGGCCTATTTACTATGTGCAAGTGAGACAAGCAGAGATATGACATCCCCAAAAAGCATCATTTCTAAGCATAAGCACTAAGCCACGAACCCAAGTTTCACAACCCTTACCACTAAAGTTAAAAAAAAAACACAAAAAACTAATTTCTTAAGCCATCTTGGATCAAAGTTCCCTACTTATAAAAGATGCAACTTATGAACCATCTATCAACATTATGCTGATCACTCAAGAATACACTGGATGCCTGCCTGCCCCTAACTCATAACATACAAAAATGGTTCAAAAAGGAAACTGGACTAATCAGATTTGGCTGATTTTTTGCAAAGTGTGATGCGTAATAAAACTGGTCTTGCTAGGAACCTTGGGTCAATTTCTGATTAGCTGATCACTAAAGTCAGCAGTAAACCAAAATAAAGTAGCAATTCACAGTGAGATGACAGTGAGCAAGTATCTTTAAATTTATAATTGCCCTTGGATCTATTTAATTTAGCTTTAAGTTATGAGGCATAATTGAGATAAATGGTTACACTGAGCAGATATCAGAGATGACAAGAAACTGGCTATGATTCTTTTCTTGTACTGTTTTCATTTGGGGACTTTTCCTGCCAACATTTGTCCTATGATGGCTGTTAAATTTTATAGGATTATTCCCACCATTAGTTGTAATGGCATTTGCAAGTTAAATGCTCACAACAAACGAAAACCAGGATCCCATTGTTTCACATGGTGAAAACCATAGTAACTGCTATTCCAAATGGAGAACAAATCTAAAAAGAATGAAGTACAGTAATTCCTCCTCCTTGTATGATACCTATATAGATTCTGTGGGGAAGCCTATTTACTTTACAACCCTTCTATTTTGAAACAACATAGATTTTGCACATGTAAGGAAACTGAAGATGCTGCTGTAAGCCAGTCAGAAGACCACTCAATGTTAGTTTTTGTTGAGGGAATTTCTTTACAATTAAATATAATTCTTCCTCAGTGCATTTAACTAAGAGACTCCCCTCTTACGGGGCTAGAAGGGAAAAGCTTGATGGCTACTTACAGGGTTTTTGTGCTGTTGTTGTTTTTAATGGTGTCTAAACCAACACCAAATTATGGAAAACACACAACAGGTAGACATTAAGAGTTTCTTAGCCAATTTTCTCCCCTGAGAAAATTCAGCAGCTAGTTCTGGAAATTTGGGGGTTATGGTTCTGGATTAGTATTTATAAGTAAATAATGATTCAGAATCATCTATATCTAGCAAAACAAGACCTAAGAAACTATGCACTTATGGATCTATAGAACTACTGAAAATAAACTACTTGATCTTTCTAGATCCTTTTATTTGCTTCAGCTTGCTCATAATTTCTCTACCACCAATCATTTTTCAAGCCACCATCTCTTTCACTTGGAATAGCATTTAAATGGCATGACTCTCTCCTTCCAGCCACCAAGTCCTTCCTCAAAAATTCAGTTGTTCTTAAAATCCTGCAGAAATGAAAGATCCTCAATAGTGAAGATAACCAAAATGCAAACCTCTGATTTTTCCATTTTAATATTCCCTCTCTCTGATGGATCTTTGAACTCTTCCTCGTATCCTTCCTGAACATGTTTAGTCCAAAAATGTCTGCCTCATCATAGGCCCACATAAGATAGAAAACAGTTGGAAATTATATTGTAATTTCTTATTAAAAGAATATCCTTGGAAATTGTTCCAGTGATTATTTTAGAACTGCTAACTTAGAAGTCATCTCATCGTCTTTTCCTTCTGCACTTTCCCCGTCTCCCCTCTCCGCCCCGCAGGACTCTGTCCAGCCAAAGCAGAATGGGGGGTGGGGCCAGTTCTGTGTTGGTTGAAGAAATCAGAAGAAGATGAAATTTGTTCACTTATCCCACAGTTTTCTTTTTTCTTTTTTCACTCAATCACCCGATTATGCCTCTTACGGCAAGCATGACCAGAGATTTGTGGCATTATCACTATATTTTGCCCAAATGTGCCCAAACTGTAGACAAATAGACAGACTCCCAGAGATCTGGCTTGGTTTGGGCCTGTGAGAGGAAACAGCTGTACTGTCGGCAAGACTTAATCACAAACAAAGTCCTATTCAGTGATAATCATTAGTTTTGATAAGCATTAGTTTCCATCTCTGACTACATATAAATACATGCGTATATCAAGTTAAGCTTCTTAGCAATCCAAAAACAATATTTGATGGGCTATAAATGTTGGAACTAACTGTGCCACTTCAACCAAATCACTTAACCTCTCTGAGACTCAATTTCCACATCGTTGAAAGCAAAGCTCTATGATTTTATTGCCCTCTAAAAGAAATAGGTTAAACACCTGAGCATGATAATTCACTTTATTCCAGCATAAAATTGAGAGTCCCAAGATTTATTCTCCACTGTTTAGTCTTTCTTAATGCCCTTTACGGAAGCACTTCCTTGCAAAGTGCTTCGGGGAGCATGCCCCAACTCAGTTTCCACAAGGTCAGTGCAACCTATATATCCCATTTCTTCAAAGCTTTCTTTTCTTCCATTGTATAAATATGCAACCTAAAAGTCATTCCAACTAGTGTGTTACCTCAACAATTTTTGAACAGAATACTGAATATTGTTAACATCATGGGAAGTTTCATACAGTTCTGGGTTAACCTCAAGTAATGCTGTAAAACTACTGATACTAATGAAAGTAGAAACAGTTTCACTGCTATTTCCATTTTATCTAATGAACTCAGAGGAAAGGCTCAGATCTGAGAAAGAAAAGGTCATAAACTAGAATCATAAGAGGGCTATTTAGATTTTAAATAGATGCAGTTTGGTTAAAGACACTAAGCAGGAATGTCAAATCGATTAAAGACATTTTAACATATTACAATCTTTCATACAATGAGAGGTTACCTGTCACTGGGTTCTTAATAGTGTTTCACGCATTAGCACAGTAAGTTACAAGTAGGTAGAGATATACATAATTGCATGCCTGCTAGCCAAGCCATGACACAGAAAGGTATTGGTGTTATTTGACATTGACTGCGAAGCCCCAGAAGAGATCACGCTGGCACCAACACTGTTCTTAGGCATCAAATCCCCAGATACTGGTTCATTTTGTTCAAGGCATCACACACTGTGTTCAGATCGCTACGGAGATCCTGCACCACGTTTTCAATACTTCTGGTGTCTTTCAGAATTTCAATGCTCTGTGTGTAGGGATTGAAGTACACTGAGAAGGGACGGGTAATGGACTTTGCAAAGTCCCTGCAAGATAAACAGAAGCAGAAGGATATGTGATCGAACCTCATTGGTAGAAGAGATAGAACAAAAAAACAGAGCCAGAAAAATAAGTTATTTTCTCTAGATGGGAGGAAAATAAGCTTACCTCATTTTTTCTTTAGCTTCTTCAAAACTTTCTGAAACAAAGTAGGCTTCCTGGAAGGTGGTGATAAGGCACTCCTGTAAGCAAGTTGTCTTCGGGTCAAAGGCTTTCACACACGCCTTGTCAGAAAGAGCGTGCTGCAAAACAAACAGCAAAACCCAGTAAACTCCACAGTGAGACTTCCAAAGTGCCGGGATGGCCCATTCCTGCAACATGGCTCAGTAATTTTACAGAACTGCTCAGGCACTAGTCTGTCATGAAATATGGACTTCTTCCATATGCGGGGTAAATGGAGTGTTAGGGGGTTTTGTTGTTGTTATTGTTGTTGGTTTTAAGTCTGTTAGGTGCTGAAAGAAAAAAATGAGATTATGGTATTATTTTATTTATTATCAGCCAAATCCATACTGAAGAACAGTTCAGAGCTGCAACTCAACAGAAATGGAATTTTAAATCTATGCTATGAATAGAAGCAGGGCTAGCATAAATACAGTCCTAAATTTATTTCCATAAGCAATGTACTGAAATTTCACTTAAATGGCAGAAGTAATAATTACCTGCGTGGAGAGGTAATTGGGGCTCTGACTAAACTGCTTGCAGACTCATTGAGAGACATTTTGAGGCCAGGTACTGTTTATCAACAGAGTCTGGAGTGGACCTGCATATTTGAGGATATTTGCAAAGCATTCATTTACCTTCCACCACGTAGAGCAGAGCAATATACAGCAGATAAATATTTCCAGGTGGGAAAAAAAGAGCTAATATTAATAGTTATCGTTATGCCCAGAGCAGGCATTAGGAAAACAGGAAAGCCAGCAAAATTTCTCTTTGAACCATCATTAGCTCCATTCGGCTCACTACATGACTGGCCTGAGGAGCAGCAAGGAACAATGAGGAACTAGATTCTCAAGATAAGCTCAGTGACGCTACAAGTTAGTGATCATTTCTGCCAAGAGCCACCTGCCTATTTATAGACCCAGAACCAATGATTCTCAAATGGAATGTGCATAGAATCACCAAGGAGCTTGTGAAAATACAGACACCCAGGCCTTGATTTTATTTGGTAGTTCTGGATAAATCCCAGAAATCTGCATTTTAGAGGCATCCAAGGAACTCAGACATAAGTGATTTGACCTATATTTTGATAAATATGCCACCTGATTCTGTATCTTTCTTTATTTCAAAGGTAAATTAGTTGGAAGAGAAAGAAAAGTGGAAGCAGAAACTGCCTGAAACAGGGTGTTTGGAAACGTGGCTCTAGTCCAGGCGTGGCTGCTCTCTAACTGGGTAGCCTTGGCATTAATGACCTCACTTCTTTGTGCCTCCATTTCCTCAACTGCAGTAAGAGGTTTGGGCTATGTCATTTCCATTGCAGACTCTGGATTCCACCCAAAGCACGTTTCTACCTTCTCAATCTCTAACTGCTAAGGTTTTCTAGAGAAATGCTAACAAAACATCCCTGTTCAGTATTCTTGGTGCATTCCCCCAACAATTTCAAAACATGTGGAATGATTTGCAGCTTTCCATGAAGAAGGCTGTGGTTCCCTAAGTTTGAAAATATAATTGTAAACTCAAGAACTGACATGAAAGAGAAAGGGCACATGACCCTACCCTGAGATGTGCTTTCCCACAAGTTGCTGTCCAGATCAGTGCATGTATGAATCAAGGAATGCAGAGGGCTTCTCGAAGTGAACTCATCTTTATTTTTTGGCCCACCAACAACTTCATTATAAACAGAAGGTCACTAGGCCTGAAAATGCCTTTGTGCTGGATTCAATGCAGTGCAATGAATATCAGGGGATTGAGGTTCCACCTGACTAATAATTCTGTCCACATTTTTAAAACAACTTCAGCTTCAAGAAATAAAATGTCCTTTCATGAAAGCTGCTGTTCTTTTGCAAAGAATAGGCCTCCTGTTGGCTTGTCACTTGTTTCAGAATTAGAAGTTGCTTTCTTTGCAGCCGTGTACTCTGGGAGCATTTTACTTTAGTATGTTTCTCTTATTGCCCATTCATCCATCAACACATATTAAAGGAAGGAATGTGACTGACACAGTATTCTTGATCTTTCTCTCAGCTCCACATTCAGAAGCTTGGGCAGAGTAAAAGCAGAACAGGCTATGAGAACATTTAAGGCATGACTCCCCTAGGGTATCCCTGTTGAGCCAAAGACTGTTCACTGGGTCTAGGACAAGCACAAGAAGCAAGTGAAACTCATCTGTGATGCTTTTATAGGAAATTAGCAACTGTAACTGTCACTGTGTGTAGAAGATGCCTTCAGAATGTGTGTATGCAATAACAGAGACTGGAATCAGTGTAGTTTTAGAAAAATCTATCATGTGGCAACTCCACCAGATACTCAGATGAGCTTGTTTAGTCATTTTAACTGGTAAAGGGGATGAGAATAGACTAAGAAAAATCCCAGAGGGCAGGGTGCTCTGCCCCAGACGTCAAGAAAAGTCAGTAGACTCGCAACATATAATTGGAGGCAAAGACCTCTAGGCAATACATATCGCATTTGCCTCGTGTAATAGTCAAAGGAAAAACTGGAAGCTGATTGTTCTAAGCTCACAAAAATGTAGCCTATCCTCAGGAGCCCGTGGGGTCCAATATGCTGGTTACCTACTGAGGACTTCTCCGTCCATTGAGTATGGGACCATTTGCTGCTCCTTGGCTGTTATGAAGATGGGGATGCTAATGGGTCCCAAGGATTAGCCTGGAGAATGACAAGAGCCTGGAGTTGGGGGGACAGCCAGTGAGAGAGGCCGACAAATGAAGTGCTGATCACACCGATCAATGATCTCATTTACCTGATGGGCATCTCCCCTGTGCGATGACTGCCAGGGACATCCATGCAGCCCGCGGAGTCCCCTGTTTCTGAAACCTAGAGCGTGGCCCAAGGGCTATTAAAAATATGCATGTTTCTGTTGATTCCAAAGTCCACTGCCCACTCCAGTGAAATTCTACTGAGTTTGCTTTTCAACTACTAGCCATGTCTCTCTCTAAGCTACCAAGTTTTGGAGAATAGCTATCAACCCTACTCCTCCATGTCCAGAGTGGCTTCTTCATAAACATCCAGCCAAACTGCTAGAGGTCCCTGGGGAACACCATGGTGAATCCTTCCCGCAGTGTTCTTCAAGTATGCTGAAGCCTGCAAGAATTAATCCAACTTCCTGTAAAGAGGGGCTTCGTCATGCTGTGAGGATTTGGCTGACAGCCTTTTCCTCTCAAGCCATTTTAAAAATGCCGGAAAGCTTGAGAATCACCTCCTCCCATCTAAAAGGACTGTTTGGGGGTTACCCATGACACTAAAGACTAGGGCACAGGACTGGGAAACTAGAGGGCTGAGTCCTAAAGAATCATGTCCCAGGGGCATGGTATCACGTGAGTAAAACATCCCCAGGTTGGGGCACAGTTCCCTCTTTGATAAACTGAAAAAATTGACCTCCATGAATTCTAAAGCTCTTCTTGCAATATAATTTTAACAGGGCCTGCAAATTCACAGCGCTCACACCACCATCCCCCCCAACACCGCAGCCAGCGCCGAGGGACCAGAGCAGCCTCTCCACCCTCCCCAACAGGGACGGCCCATCCTAATTCATTGGCTTAAGTGTACAAAGGAAGATTTATTTGCCATTCCGGCCTTTTAAATTAAACAATACCTTTTCAACATCTAAAACTTCCCAGAGCCCACTTGTTACCTAAAGTTCCTACATGACTTTGGGCAAGGTATTCCACTCCTATCAGCCTATCCCAAGATTCGTCTGGAAAATGGGAATACTAGTAATAACTGCAACACAGGGTTGTGGTGAGAATTAAAATAGGTAATGCATGCAAAGTACCTGGCACATAAGAAGTACTCAATATATTTATTTATCATTGCTAATTTAGTCTCAAGATTATGATATGAATTTGGCCAAAGCTGCCACCACTGGGGCAGCTCCCCTCCCCCGGGGGTCTAGAACTCACAGGTGAGGAAGCACAGGCCTCGCTCTGAGGCTTCCTATGCTGCAGCAGGGCCGGCCCTGAGTCCATTGATGTAAAATCCCCCTTCCTCTCAGCCACCTGCCTTTGCAATGACACAGCATTATTATCTCAACTATTCCAGATGTAAACCCCGTGATCCTCACCCTCTATATTAGGACTAGATGAAGTTGGGGAAAAACTCAAGTACGAAGACAGGTTTATAGGTAGGTTTGGGCCTTTGATTCTGAATAAAATAAATTTATAAACATCCCTATATTCACACTATGATCATTTCTCCCCACATCAGAATAATAAATATATACACTTATATATGCATATTATATTTTTAACCTCTCTCAAATGTTTCTCCTGCTAACCCAGCATAATTTGGCACTGACACCCCTATTGCCAAATTGGGAGATGATGGCATCACGCCTTTTTTAAAAAAAAATATCAGTAATGTTGAAAGTTTCATCAGTTTGAATAAACTACAGGGGTAAGGGAACGAACTCTCTCTTCACACAATCCTTTCACAAAGGCCAAAGACCCGTTTCCAGCTCCCAATACACAAGCCTTCTCTCTGTCATTATTGAGTCATTATTTCCTTTCCTCCAGGAAAGGAAACAGGAGGGGGAAGACGAGAGGCAAGGGCCAGCTAAGCAGGGTAGAGGTGGGAGCTCAGAAGCAGCAAGTCCTAACTCCAGTCCTAACTGCAGCCACACCGCAGCTGTACAAGATGACCTCAGATAACCCTCTTCTCGACAGCCTGGCAGTAATCCTGACTATCTCGCAGAGTTGCCGTAAGTGGTAGTAAATACAAATGATTGTAATAAATATAAACCTGTTCTGTGAATGCTGATTAACAACTTAAAAAATATAAATAAGCAGTACAGCAAATTCACTGTGCGAGGATATCCTAAAACCAAAGCCAAAATAATAATAATTATTACAATTTTTAAAACAATCAGCTTTATCAGAACCTGCAAAGCAAAACATATATATTTATATGTAATACTCCAGAAACTACTATGGGGTCAGTGCTAAACCCATTAACAAAAAGAAAAAGAAAAAACCTCTAATCTCTACCCTTTAGGGAATAAAGAACTAAACTTTATTTACCATTACCCATGGGGGAAAAAGGAAAATTTTTTTTTCGAGGTACATTAACTTTCTGAGATAAGACTCACCAATTCATTGATTAGCAATCATTTCCTTAACACCTAATGTGAATAAACTTCCTTGTTGATTCTACAAAAGAACCACATTCAACAAAGGCCCATATCAATTAATTTCTTAGATCTTCCCCTTCTACAGACTACAACTTCCTTGAAATCTGCGACTTTCAATTTTGCGGTTTTTTAAATAAAATGAATGAATGGATGAATAACAAAATTTTTAAATGAAGTATATATTCCAGGTCAGCTTTGGGACAGAGAAAAAAAGGCCATGAAAGCAAAAACACAAGCCAGACTGTGGGTGAATGGCAGCCAATTATGCTATTTTCAACCTTTTTTTAAAAGTCAGTTTTCCAGATAACTTAGCTCATTATTAACTGCTCTCTACAGTGATGAAGGAAAGGAAAGGCCCTACCCAAACACACTTCTAGAATTTCTGAAAGCTCATGAAAGAACAGATAATTGTAATAAAAGAGAGATTAACCATTGCTGAAATTTCAAAAAAAAATAGTCTTTATGGTTATCATATTTATGTTAGCCTTTATAAGCTTTACCATATATTTTCATATGTCTTCAAATATAAAAATAATCATTGCCAAAAATTGTTGTTAAAAAAAATAACAGAAAAATAAAAGTTATCCTCCAAACTATAGATATGCCAATTGGGAATACCTGGTCAGTTCTGAAGTGAAACACATATGCCAAAGAAAATCTAGCCTCTTAAAGCACAAATTTTACTTTGTTCCAGGTGAGAAGGTGAATAGTGGATATTTGAGTAAACGTTAAAAAGACAACAGCTTAGCTGGGACCTACATCTGGGCTGCAGTGGAACAGCAAAAATATTTTACCATATAAGGTAACTAGATTCAAAAGTGTAAGCATGTCTACACTGGAATTATTTTAATGTTATTAATAAAATTATCTCTACCTAGATCAAGAACTACCATTTGCTCATTTAAATAAAAATTAGGGTGAAGTATTCAGAAGTGCTGAGAACGCCCTGGATGCTACAGGAGCAGGGCAGCAGAGGGGCCGCAGAAATTATCTACATCATGTTATGTATTCTCTGTGAACAATCAGAAGGCATTTCTTATAGAAAGAATTCCTGAATTGTAAAAATGGTCCAAAGTAGCAATTATAGTGATGTTAGAATGTTGAAATTTGAGAATGGAAGAATGCTAATGACCAGAGGTGATGGACCAGAACAAGAAGATTCATGGCAGACAGTGCCCTTCGGTGTATATATTTCTGGCCGATTTCCATCTCTAGACGATTCTACCCGCACCAATAGAAACGAAAACAACAGATTCACCCCAATGCTGCCTGCACATGCCTCATTAACCAGATCAGAGGACCCTGTCGAAAGTTGGGGCAATGAGAGAGATTTGTTTCCTTTGTTTCTGGTGTAATTTATAAACTCTCTGAGGAGAATGTAAATAGATGTAGCTCAAGAGCTACATGGTTTTCTGGCTAATTCTTTTTTCAGGGAAATAAAAAAGCACTCTGTAGAAGGCACGGGGCTTTCAGGGATATGACATCATGCTATCGCTGTGGGCTCTGGCCACTGCGTTGAGATTCACTCCAAATGGATCTTTTTGTTAAGAATTTAGTAAAAAATGTTTTACCACGTTGTATCAGGCTTTTGTTATGTCAAATATTGTCATCTATTCTGGCCATTCCAAACCTCAGGCAGCTCCGTAAACAGGGAGGATTTGACAGGAGCACAAACTTTGCTGTCTGGTGACTGATCCGTGTTATCTCACCCTCTCCCGTACACACCCGTCCATTCGTCTAGATTCAGCTGGGGCAGCTGGGCCCTTGTCAGGCAGCCTTCCCAAACATGGCCCAGTCTGTTCCAGGCACTTTTGCCATATTGTATTATCTGATTGTTATCTCTTGAACTAGAATGTAAACTCCTTAATAACAGGAACCCCAGGCAGTGTGGCCAATTGGTTAAGGGCTCAAATTCTGGAGCCTGGACTTGCTGGAGTCCAGCTCCAACACTTAGGAGCTGTGTGACCTTGAGCAAGCTTGTTCATGTCTTTATGCCTCAGTTTTCTCATCTGTAATGATAGTATTGCTTATCTCATTATATCCTTGTGAGAATTAAATGGGTTTATGTGGTAAAGAAACCTACGATACTAAGGCCTGTTTAAGTGTCCATTGAGGTAGTTATTTTCTTTTTATTCTTATTTTTCGCCATTATTATTTGTATTTGTACTCTCCAGTGACTGGCACAGGACATGGCACATACTAGGTGCACAACGAAATGTTTGAGGGATGAATGAATGGGGTCATAACTGAGAGGAATTGATAAAATTATAGTTAAATTGCATCTTTCAAGAACAGAAACAACCAAAAAGTTCCAATTATCATATATTTCCTAATTATATTATATAAGAATACTCTAAGAAAAATCAAAACCTTAACACCGTCCATAATCCTGATCTTAGTCTGAATAATCAAAGAAAGATAAAATTATTTTTAGTACCAATTCCATATTATTTTTCACATCATATTCTAAATTCATCAAAACTTGCCATCCCCAATGGTATAGATAGTAATTGTTAAATAACCATAACATATAAATTACCAGATGCCTCAGGCCCCCACATTTCTGAATAAAGGGTAATTTTACTGTATTTTAAGGCAAAAAAAAATAGCATCCCATAGGCATGACTACACATATTAGATACCTCTCAGGCCATATGTTTATTTAGAATGTTTCTAAATTGTCTATGTCCACGTATGTTTTAATACACATTAATTTTGAAGAAGCTAAAATAATCTCAAATTCCCCTTTGGGAATTAAATGCTGGGGAGTTTCTGGGAGTATTCAGGGTGACAGAAATTAGAGCAGTCAAGGCAACCTTACAAGGAAATTTTAATCAGAGGAATCACTGGTAGCTCACTGCCTACTGTTCAGCACTAAATGTGGAGCAGTCATTTGTTAGCCTGCATTTGAGCATGCATTTGTCATTGCTGTTGATTGTGCACATAGATGCTCATCCATTTGAGTCACACCACAAACCCAGAAAGGCATGACCCATTTTCAGAAGAGCGCCAAGTTAGGTCAGTACCCACATCTGAGGTGCTAACTCCTCTGTGTTAAATATTTATGGAGTATCTGCAACTAGAAATGTGCAGACAAACAAATCAATATTTCCCATGACCTTGAACCAGTTGCTTGGGAAGGATACGTTCATTCACAGCTTCATACCTGCAACTCTCCAATGGAAGAAAGTAGTCCTGCTCCATATGCCCGCAGTTGCCCTTCTTGCTTGCAAAGGCCAAACTCAATTGTGAAGAAATAGCACTAAAAAAAATTAATAATAATAATAATAATAAATCAACACACATCCACAATGTCAACAAGTTCTTCTAAAGAATAAAATGGCACCCAAAATAAAATGGTACACTGTCCATAATTTCTTCAACAATGTCAATCCACATACGTTTGAATCCAAAACATTTATTGAAATCTATTTTCTTGCTTAATAATCCTTTCCTAGGTAAAAGGTATACAGAAAAGGTATCTACTACTAAAAGTATTATGCTTACTAGATTCAGAAACCTGTGAGTCAATTCAGATGCCATGCAATAATTTTAAAACTTAAAAAAACTCAGATTTAGATATAAATGAATATGTCACAGTGATAATGCTATAAGAATATGCTACTATACATTATTTACTAAGTTGTATTTTGGTGATATAAGTAATTACATGTATATGTGAAAAATAACTTAGAATCTAGTAATCCCAAACTGATGTTTGCAATTTGTTTAGTAATTCAACAAACATTTGCTGAGTACCTATGGGGTGCCAATGCTTGGCAAAGAAATAAGAATGACACCAATAAAGCAAGTACATGTTTACCAAACTACCAAAACCATAATTTTAGTATGTTTTTCAGTGGGATCTTAAATGTAGTCAATGTATATACAGATACATACATATATATACATATAATGAATGTGTATAAATACATACATATATATATATAATCATAAGAACCATTTCATTGATCTGAGTTTTATCAGTATCAACTATCAATACTACAGTTCTCCCAAGATATTAAAATCTACAATTATTTCTGTTGAGTTTAGGAGATTAACCTAGACAGACAGAAACTTCTGTACAACTAAAAACTCACAATGCTCTTGAGAGAGGCTGAAATCACACTATTTTTGCTTTGAGGAAAAAAGTGAGAAGCTGACAATGAGCAATAAAACTTGCATCAGATTAACACTGTCCTTCATTAGTGATCATAGAATGCTGAGGTGTTGAGAAAGAAGAAAATTTAAACACTCCTGAAAAGGGGCAGAAAGTAATATTTCTAACCCATGGCAGTTTGCTCTATTTTTATTTGGAAGTTAACATGCCCCTTGGCTCAGGAGGGTTTCATATTTTTCCAGTGTGAGGATGATCCGAGTTGAGTGGCCTGATGTCCTGCAGTCCTGGGCTGGACCCAAAGGACCAGTCCAGCCAGGCCATGGAACTAAACTTCTAGAGGCAAATTCTCTATCCCTGGTTCACCGCCCAAGGAAGCTAAGATTATAGCCCTTTCTACCTACATCACCCTCAGTGCCCACCAGCACTCCTCTGTTCTGACTTTTCCATCACACCACTTTTTTGACATGGTCTTCAATTTATTTATGAATGGTATGTACTGTTTGTCATCTGTCTCCCCACTATAGATTATAAACTCCATGGGAACAAGTGTCAGTCTGTTCATCTAGAACAGGGTTTCCCAAGCACAGCATTCTTGACATTTTAGGCTGCATAACTCTCTGTTGCAGGGGAGTTGTCCAGCATACTGGCCTCTGCTAACTAGATGCCAGTGGCACCCTCCACCCCAGTTATAACAACCACAAATGACAGGAGATATTGAAAAATGATCCCAGGGGAGCACCATTGCTCCTGGTTGAGAACCATTAATACAGAATAGTGTCTGAAACATAGTAAGAGCTCCATAAACATCTGGTGGATAAATAAACAAAGAGTGAATGGAAGAATTATCTCTAATTTAGGCTTATTGTGTGGCAGTATGACCTGGAGGAAAGAAACATGAGGAGGCCTGTGTTTAGTCCAGGCACTACTTTTAATAAACTGTGTGACCTCTCTAGCACTTGGTTTTACTGCCAGTGACATCATTCATTCATTCATTCTACAAACACTTGTTGTGCACCTATTATGTGCTAGACTCTGCTTTAGCTGCTAAGGATATGCAATGGACAAAGCAACAAAGACCTCATTCCCATGAAGCATATAGGTTATACTGAGATGAGACAGACAACAATAACAACAAAAATCAATACACAGGATAATTTCAGGTAGAACATGCTATATAAATAAAACCATGTAACGTGTCAGACATTAAGGAAAAGACATGGCTATTTTAGATGGAGAGGCCATGTAAGGTCTCTCTGAGGAAGTAATATTTAAACTGCAACCTGCCTGATAAGCAACCTTTTGTGCAAAGATCTAGGGCAGGGATTTTCAACCTTCTTCAGCTCGTGGCACTCATAAACTAATAACTAAAATTCTGCAGCACACCAAAAAATATATTTTTTATCAATCTGACAAAAAAATAGGTATAATTTTGATTCATTCCCACTGGACTTCTATTGTTGTGTTGGCTGTTGTCATTGTTTTACTTGACAATCTAAGGGAAAAAGATGTCAGTGCCTCTGACTAATAGTCACTTATTGCATGTTTTAAAAATTCTTGTAGCACAAAGGTTGAAAATTGCTGATGCAGGGAAAAAAGTGTTCCCAGCAGAGGAAGTGAAAAGGCACTGAGGCAAGAATAGATTTGTATTTCCAAGGACAATGGGAAGTCACTGAAAGGTTTTAGGTGGGGAGAGACATGTTCTGATTTAGTTTTCAGAAGGTCATGTTGATGATGGGTAAAGAATAGAGTGCAGAGGTAGAGGAGTGAAAGCAAAGAAACCAGTCAGACGGCAGTGGCAGCAAGAGAAAGGGGAGTTCAGTGACTTAAACAGACTATAGGCCGCGAGCAGCGGGGGATTGAGAGAAGGCAGTATCATAGAGGCCTTGTAAGACGAACCAAAATAATAGATATGAATATGCTTGGAAAAGTTGAAATATTGCCCTCAAGTCTGTCCCCCAGAAAAACTTGCATAGGCTGGACACAATGAAGAGAAGCTATTATATACTCATAAAACAAGAAGACAAAGTTCAGCCTCCTATTTTATTAAAAGGAAAACTCAAGTTTAAGGAGGTAAAGTGATTTACCCAAAACCAGTCTAGATGGTGACACTGAAGAGCTCTAGGGCTCAGTATTTTAAAATTTCTAGGTAAGAGATTAATAGACACATGATTTTTCCCTTATGACCAAAAAATGGAGAAATAAAAGTCAAACAGGAAAATTTTAATCTCATAGCATCTTCTTTGTGCATCTTTAGCTGATTTCCCTAATTTTCATCGCATTTATAGCATATGATATGAAATCCTTGGAGCCTGAACATCGCATACAGACTGTGGGGCGGGGGGGTGGGCGGGGGCCGCGGAGTGGGAGTGTTGTCATGCTCTAAAGCCTCCAAAATACACATATGGAGCAATTTACAGGAGCATTTAGGTCAGCCTACTAAGAGCATTTTCCTTTTACTTCATCATTGCCTACATACTGTATAGTCATGATTATGACCCAAATCAGAACAGGCTGAGGGAACCCTGAGAAAATCTGGTGTGCCATATATGCCATATACACCGTCGTCACATGCATTTGGCATCCCATCCAGTTTCAGGGGGAATTCAGATCTGCATCAAGTCCACTCAAGATTCAAAGATGTGCTTCTAGAATCAGGGCAACCTCAAAGGAAAGAGTTACTGTGCATTCTGCTCCTTCCTCCTCACTAGGAACATCCTCGGCCCCATACCTCGTCTGGGAGTCCTTCCTGAAACTCTGACCTTACACAGCTCCATCTGCTCATTGCCTTTATCTATCTTTCCCTTTGGTTTCCTATTGTCCTCAACCATAGAAGGTGCTGGAAGCTACTTCTGCAGCCTACTCTTCCCAGAGAATTAAGACAATTTGCTCTGAGGCTCTTTTCCATGTTCAGCTCCACATGTGGCTAACAGATAAAGAGAAATGATAAAACATACCTGAACTTTGGGAAAATTTGAATTACAGACTGGCTCAAAATAATTTTCCTTTTTTTGTTTTCAATAGCAGTAGAGACCTCAAAATGCATGCTGCCGTGTTCGTGGTCACTAATGGGAGAAGAAGGTGACCACACACCTTCTGTCTGGTGGTAAATGGAAAGTCTGCTTAGAGCAGAACTGGGTGACCTCTTGATGACCTTTCAGAATTCAACAATAACTGTTTCTGAAATTTTTTAAGAAAAATATAATTTGATTTCCTTAGAGGGTTCTCCAGATGTTGGGGATCTATAATCTCTTAGAAATTTACCAAATAAATATCCTACCTATTATTTAAAAAACAAACAAACAAACAAACAAACAACCCTGAATCTTATAAAAACACCAGTGAAAGACAATTGCAGATTCTTGGCCCCTAATGTCTTTTAAACAGAAAAAAATAATAATAGTAAGACTAACACTTCCCAAATTGAAGGGTACCTTTCATCAAAGCTGAAGTTCATGAATTCCAAGTTTTACATACCACTAATTATATGTAATTATTTATAAATATTTTATTTGAATATAATTACATATAATCATTAACTGAAAACCAAAACAAGAATGACAGATTAGACCTCTTCCACAGAAAAAAAAAACAGAGTTATTTACATACATACAGTCATTAAGCAGAAGAAAGTGTGAGTGACAATCTGAAATCCAAACACTGCTGTGGAACAAGCTACAGGACGTGCTTACGCACAGCACAGGTGCTGAGGAAAGTGAGATAGGTCGCCCAATGCTGCCATCGTCAGGTCACTGCTGGTAGTACAGCACTTGTGCATCGGTCCTGGCCTAGCCGAACGAGCCCCAGCCACATCTTGAGCGAACACAGTCCACAGAAACTGAACACTCCAACAAAATGCTCGCTGGTCCCACGTGGTGATTTACAGCAGCAACCGACTCAACATCTTTCTTATGTTTGCTGTTAGGTACCTGAAGCTTGCTAAGATACCTATTCCAATTAAAGAGATGAACAATTTTTTTCAAAGAACTCTTGATGGGAAAGAAATTTTCCTCTTAAAGGGCTTTTTTGTCTCCCACTTCCCCCACTCCCTAAATCCATGAACAACTACATAACCTCTTCCCGAGAGTCGTGCTATATTCTTAAACTGGATTAAAATGGTACACACAAACCACTAGGAGGAATCC